TGTGCAAAACAATTTGTTCTTTCAATATATTTGAGATGAAGGAAAAATAGAAAGAGAGAGAGAGAGACAGAGAGAGGGGAACTAGAAAAAAGACAGAAAGATCAAACAGCTGTATCTTAGAGAATAGGTCATGTGTCAAATAATATGATGTACTTAACGTGTCATTATTTATAGTGGTTTTACGAGAAAAAAAAAATTATCCCAATATAGAGTGTGGAAATGCCGAAGTAATATGATGAGATTATGTCTCTTAACAATTAGTATTCACCCTAGACTTGACAGATAAGAGAGAGAGAGAAAGAGAGACAGAGAGACAGATAAAGAGAGAGTGTGTGTGTATATGTATGAGGGTGCGCGCGTGTGTGCGTGTGTGTGTGTGTGTGTGTGTGTGTGGAAGAGAGGAATGGAGAGGGTAATATAAATAGAGAGGGATAGTGAGAGATAGAGATATATAGTGTAATACTAATGAGAGAGATAGGACAGAGAGGGAGAGAGATAGAGAAATAGAGAGAGAGAGAGAGAGAGAGAGAGAGAGCGAGATAGAGAGGGATAGTGAGAGATAGAGATATATAGTGTACTACTAATGAGAGAGAGAGAGGACAGAGAGGGAGAGAGATAGAGAGGGAGAGAGAGAGAGAGAGAGAGATAGAGAGAGAGGGTGAGTGAGAGAGGGGAGTACTTGGATATGAAGATGATCAAATCGTGCATTCCGAAATCTTAATGACAAATATATTATTACAATTTTGGAAATGGTAGTCTTAGGGTAAATCGTTTTATTGTTATTGTGACGTATGCATCGTATCTTCTGATCTTGACCTACTTTCTGTCATCGCGATCGCCAAGAAATACCATTAAATTTCATTTGTGTATCGAACAAGCAATGACCATTGTGAACGACCTAGTTTCCTGCGCCTATTCAATTTGGAAAAACATCATAAGCTGGGGAATATTTACCAATGTACAGCTTGTGTAGGAATGGTTAGCCTTCTATATTATGTACCAGGGAGGAGATGTACCAACAGTCATTTCAGCTTTACTGATATTCAAGAGGCATCTTCTTTTCTTCTCATTCTTTTCCCTTTCCTAGTCTTATGAATATCGACATTTAAAGAAGCTCGTCCTGGGAGCAAGAAGGTAGCGGAATGTTATATGGACGATCCATTATACGGAAATCCTTCCCTAGCTTTCCTCTTCCTTTCTCACAATTATCTCAGTCTCCTCTTTCTTGATTTATTCATGTTTTGACCTCTTTACTCACATTTTCTCTCCCTTAACATCATCTGTATCTGTCCCTTTTGCCTTCAGCATGTTAACGCTCTCTCTCTTTCTCTCTCTCTCTCTCTCTCTCTCTATCCCTCTCTTGTTTCACACTCGTCCCTATTTCTCCTTCTCTCTCCACCCCTTCCTTATTTTCGATTCATGCCAGCGTGACTCTGAATCTTAACATGTGCATACTGACATTTAGGTGCTTGATTCGGCCAAATCCCTTCTCCCTGATTGTTATAAATGTGTAGCTTAAGAGACAGCCACATATCGTATGAGGTAGACGTACTCGTAATGAATTCCCTTTGACATATAAAACACGTCTCGCGTCTCCGAGGAGGCAGAGATGGTCTGTATTTCACGCGCACAAGTGTTTCAGACGGAGCCACTACAGGCAGAATATACCATTTCTGTCCACCCCCTCAATCTCTGTTAATCCATTTCTTCTTCTTCTTCTTCTTTTTCTTCTTCTTCTTCTTCTTCTTCTTCTTCTTCTTCTTCTTCTTCTTCTTCTTCATTTCTTCTTCTTCTTCTTCTTCTTCTTCTTCTTCTTCTTCTTCTTCTTCTTCTCTTTCTTTTCTCTCTTATTCTTCTTCTCTTTATTCTCTCTCTTATTCTTCTTCTCTTTCTTCTCTCTCTCATTCTTCTTCTCCTTCTTCTCTCTCTTCTTCTTCTCCTTCTTGTACTTCTTTCCTCTACCTCACTTTATTTTCGTAATTTTTCTTTCGCCTTATTCTCTCATTCACCCCCTCTCTCTCTTTATTTATTTGTAGGTTATTATTTATCTCTTTTACTTCTTATCGAACGTTCTCTTTCTCTCAAACACCTTTTAACAATTTTTTTCTTGAGCTCTTTCCCTCTCCTTCTATCATTTATTCCCTTCTTTCCCTCTACGTCTCCTCGTTTTTAAGAGGCTATTTTACAAGAATATTGTTTTTAATACATTTTTTGATAATCTATTGAGAGGATAAAATAAACAAACATGTTCAATACTCCCCAACATCGACTACACATTATAATCGAGATATTTCTTTACCATCGTGATAATGTTTTTTTATTGTCTATCGTCTCTATTTAAAGATGAAGTTGAGTTCTGGTCATGCGATTGCATTGTGAAAGAAACGGTGTGGAATCGACCAGAAAGGTTGATCATCTAGCATATAAAAATTTGTGTGTATTGCAAGGTTCTGGAATCATCAAAATGATAAGAAATTGGCCAAGTCTTGGTAAAGTTACAAACACTGTACACAAAAAGATGTATATGGGACTACACGAACACGTGGCGTAAAAAAACCTACCCCTCGATTTTTACGATGTACATGACATATTTAGAATATGAAGGCATTTGAAGAGCCATGCTTTTCAGGGAACATGTCTCATCTGATGTTCTTCCACACTTGCATAATAAGAATGATAACGCTCACAAATTATTTTTCACCTCTTCCCAGAAATCAACTTTCTCTTTAAGATAACTGTCCATTTAATTTGATCTCCATTAATGATTGTAAACATATTATAGCATTGAGCTTGTTAGCATATTGCATCTTTAGTAACTATTTCCTCGTTTGTAAAATATCTATTTCATCCTGTAACTGCAATTCTATATGCTTTCTCAATAAACAGGGATATTTCAGTTAATTTATCGAACAGAAATAAGGCTTAAGAAATGAATAGGCATACATTATAAACCTAACGGGTATGACTGCCTTACCCCCTCCCCTCACCCACCATCTCATCCCTCCTCTTCCCCCTCCCCTCACCCTCTCACCCCTCCTCTTGTCCCTCTCCTCACCCTCTAACCCCTCCTCTTCCCCCATCCCCTCACCCTCTCACCCCTCCTCTCCCCCTCCCCTCCCCCTCTCACCCCTCCTCTTCCCCCTTCCCTCACCCTCTAACCCCTCCTCTTCCCCCACCCCCTCACCCTCTCACCCCTCCTCTTCCCCTCCCCTCCCCCTCTCACCCCTCCTCTTTCCCCTTCCCTCACCCTCTCACCCCTCCTCTTCCCCCTTCCCTCACCCTCTAACCCCTCCTCTTCCCCCTTCCCTCACCCTCTAACCCCTCCTCTCCCCCTCCCCTCCCCCTCTCACCCCTCCTCTTCCCCCTTCCCTCACCCTCTAACCCCTCCTCTTCCCCCATCCCCTCACCCTCTCACCCCTCCTCTTCCCCTCCCCTAACCCCTCACCTCTCCTCTTCCCCCTCCCCTCACCCTCTCACCCCTCCTCTTCCCCCTCCCCTCACCCTCTCACCCCTCCTCTTCCCCCTCCCTCCCCTCTCACCCTCCTCGTTCCCCTCCTCTTCCCCTCTCACCCCTCCTCTACCCCTCCCCTCACCCTCTCACCCCTCCTCTTCCCCCCCCCTCACCCTCTCACCCCTCCTCTTCCCCTCCCCTCCCCCTCTCACCCCTCCTCTTCCCCCTTCCCTCACCCTCTCACCCCTCCTCTTCCCCCTCCCCTCCCCCTCTCACCCCTCCTCTTCCCCCCTCCCCTCACCCTCTCCCCCCTCCTCTTCCCCCTCCCCTCCCCCTCTCACCCCTCCTCTTCCCCCTCCCCTCCCCCTCTCACCCCTCCTCTTCCCCCTTCCCTCACCCTCTAACCCTCCTCTTCCCCCATCCCCTCACCCTCTCACCCCTCCTCTTCCCCCATCCCCTCACCCTCTCACCCCTCCTCTCCCCCTCCCCTCACCCTCTCACCCCTCCTCTTCCCCCTCCCCTCACCCTCTCACCCCTCCTCTTCCCCCATCCCCTCACCCTCTCACCCCTCCTCTTCCCCCTCCCCTCCCCCTCTCACCCCTCCTCTACCCCTCCCCTCACCCTCTCACCCCTCCTCCTCTTCCCCCTTCCCTCACCCTCTAACCCCTCCTCTTCCCCCTTCCCTCACCCTCTAACCCCTCCTCTCCCCCTCCCCTCCCCCTCTCACCCCTCCTCTTCCCCCTTCCCTCACCCTCTAACCCCTCCTCTTCCCCCATCCCCTCACCCTCTCACCCCTCCTCTCCCCCTTCCCTCACCCTCTAACCCCTCCTCTTCCCCCTTCCCTCACCCTCTAACCCCTCCTCTTCCCCATCCCCTCACCCTCTCACCCCTCCTCTTCCCCTCCCCTAACCCCTCACCCCTCCTCTTCCCCCTTCCCTGACCCTCTCACCCCTCCTCTTTCCCCTCCCCTCACCCTCTCACCCCTACTCTCCCCCTCCCCTCCCCCTCTCACCCCTCCTCTTCCCCCTCCCCTCACCCTCTCAGCCCTTCTCTCCGCCGGGTCTGAAAATTCAGAATGCATATCTCTCAAGTAAAAGGTGTATAGCGAAAGCTAGACTATAGTAATGAGAATTGATACTACCGTCTGCACGAACCGTGGCTGTTCACTCCAGTTCAATAAGCGTCACCATATATCCATGTTGACCAATCGTTAATGTTCAATCTATTTCACTTTAAACCTTGTTGCAACGTGTTATTCTTGTTACGTCTCCTTTTCCCTTTCCTGGTCGTTTCATTCAACTTCCTCTGGTATCACTCCTTTCCTTCCCCATCAAATTGTGTTTTTTCGTCATTTTTCTGGTTTTGTTTTTGTTTACATTATTTTCCCCTCGGTGCGGTATAAAGTTCTTTTCTTACTATTGTAACATGGTGGAATATTGCTCATGTAGTCCTTCTCTCTTCTTGTTGTATTCTCTCTCTCTTTCTCTCTCTCTCTATCTTTATCTTTGTCTCTTTCTGCTGTATCTTTCTTTGTCTTAATTTGTTATAGATGTTTAATGAGGTATAAAAGTAGTTTGCATGGATATTTTGATCACTTGGCTCCACCCCGACTTGGTCTCCTCCACCTGTACCCCTGTCCTCCCATCTCCATCAAGCTGTCCCTGAACTAACAACTAATTGCTGCATGTGAAAATCAACAAGTTCTGGACTCACAAAGTTATCGAAGTACGTTATACAGCGTTGTTCCAGAATCGTTCAAGAAAGCCAAGTCACTTCAATCACCAAGTCGGGAATATTCAACTAAATTTTACAACATACTTCAAGGGAACTTAATCTGAAAGTGTCAGGAACTGATTCATAAGGAGGAACATTGATAGGAGGAACATTGATTGCAGATACGTCGGTAGATAGGTACCATTAACCCTATGCCAATTTGATGCTGTGTTCCTGATTCTGATCCTGAGTTCCTGAATTTGATCCTGTCGTCCTGATCCCGCAACTGTGTTCCCGATTCCGTTCCCGTCTTCGACGTCGTCATCTTTCCTGTTCCCATACCCGTAGCATCGTTGTCCATCTCTTCATCTCGTCTGTAAACGGCCGAATCGGTACATCCACTCCAATCGCGAATAGTCTACCGCGCTGTATGTAAGTGCCCACAGTACTAACAATTTCTAACTAACCTCCTTCTTCCCAACCCTTAATGTCCCATTTATTTAGACTAACAAGTTAAGGCTTTTAAATTGTATGTTAGCTTAAGGTGTATTTTGATATGAATGTATGTTGAAGAGAAGACAGAGATCTTCTGGATTATTGATACTATTTCCATGACATTGTTTGATGATAAATACTGTTAGAAGACTAGTTGATACAGGTTAGTGATTGGTAAATAAACATATATGACACCTTAAATATTATATCGTGTCCCAGCGCTTTTATTCTTTGACTTTATTTTAAATCGGTGGTCTATTTGAACTAACCCCTCCCCCGAGTGAAAGTCATAGCTAGCGGACCAATACAAAAACCTGATTTCACTCGGAGCTCGATTCTACTATTTCATTATAATAGAAGACGGCGTGGTGTGGGCGGTTAGACTATTTTTTTCAATTTTTTCTTCGGTTTTGGATTTTCTTCGTTTTGTTACATTCTTCTTTCTTTTTTGTTTAAACCCCTCTGGTCATTATTGTTGTGTCATTATTATCCCCTCCCATTCTTTAAACTTTATTCAAAGCGTCAACTTCTTCTTTTCTTCTTAGTGGAATAATTTTAGAATATCGCTTTATATATGCCATACACGCCAAACGTAGAATATTTTACTTAATCGGGCAAGTCCATTAAATTTTCACGGCAGTTTTAGGGTAACAAAAATAGCTTTGGATTTGGAACACATTCGTGAATCTGTCTTGGGAAACTATTTCAAAATTGTACACGTACATGCGTTGGGACGACTCAGTCCCACTTATAGAAATTCATGTGGGGCACGGATGTTTCGGTCAATAGACTTTGTGCAAAATCGACTGGAACCATGAGGTGAATTTCCTTGAACTGAACGAGGGTATCCGAAGAGACGAGGTATATGAGTTCGTGACATGCATGTAGAAGGGGCTGCTTACCATTTTACAAAGACTTACTATCGGTATGTGACTCCGAATGAATATTTCAGTCAAAGTGCACGTAGCAGAGGCGGGTTCGGATCATCATATAAATGGTGGATGGGCTCCAGTTTGTTTTTCCCGCCGACAGGAAGATTTCGATTTCAAAAATCATCAAAACTATATAAGATGGGTCAGAACAACATACGACATGCCTATAAATGTTCCTCAAATTGTTTACATGCCTTTTCTCCCCCGAATCTTAACAAAAGATGTCGGTCTCCCCACCTTCGCCCCCATCCGCGTACTCAGAAAACGACTTCTAGGACTTGGTTGTCTGCATACTAAACTGAAAGGTCACTGTCTATCGTCCTAGATTTAAGATCTGAATTGATTTTTGTTGTTTTGTAAAAAATCATCAAGAACACAAATGAGTTAAAGAAGACTGGCATATGACGAGTCAAGATATTTTTTCGTTTATTCTTTGTTTGCAAATTGAAATTGTTAATGTTTAGACCTAAATGAATGTATTAAAATGTATCTGTTTAGGCTCTTCTCATCATAATATCTCTATTTCTACTATGTAATATAATATTTAATTAATAGTGTAATGATGGATAGGTTTTCACCTATTTTAATTAATGTAGTGTAAGAAATACACACGCAAGATAATAGGCCAATCCACTAGTTACATTAACCCTCGCATAATTGATCTTGCGAGTAAAAACTCGTTTATCTTCGTCACTGGTTGCACGTACGCATGTAGCCATAAAGTTCAGCTTCTCCTAGCCAAGTAGAGGCGCCCTAACCTATTTAATTCACATTTACTCTGAGAACCCAAATAAAAGACAAACGAACCAACCTCGTCTGTCACCGTCCCAGGGCCTCATTATTTGATCATCTACAAACCCTAGTCCATCTGGATGACGATATCGACACCTATCATACTCGAACCCATGATCGATGAGGCAAAAATCGATCACTGATCTCATTGGCATTTGTTTTTGACAGCCACCATACAAACATCGGTTTCTCTGTCTCCCAAATCTCGACACAGGGCTACGTTCAGACGTAGATGTTACCGTGATCTTAATATTCTGTCTTGTGAACACGATGTAAGAAAAATAAATCCCAAAGAACGCTTATGCCATGCACCAGCTTACGTATGTCTCATACAGGTGTGTTAGCTCAGTCAGTAGAGCGTCCGCCTCACAACCGGGAGGTCGTGGGTTCGAACCCCGGCCGCGTCATACCAAAAGACGTTAAAAAACTGGAGTTGCTGCTACCTTGTTTGGCGTTCAACAATGCAACGTCGATCTGGCGCTGCTCAGTGACTGCCGGGCTCACGATCACTTGGGCAAAAAGAATTTCCATTTTCGGTTTAACTTAATAAAATTTGGACTTTAAAAGATTAAAAGATTATTTGTATTATTATTAGATGGCGCACAGTGTTGCAAACCCGATCAAGATCATAAGAATACAGCTTAATACTGGTCTTTCAAAAAATGCGAAATATTTAGAAATGATTTTGATTGGTTGAATATTTTGGAGTATGATATACATGTAGCTACAGTACTTCATAGATACTATCTGTGAATGGGCAGATAAAGGTCATTTGTACACAACTGTAAAACCCGTCGAGACGGCTGCTGGATATGTGTCCATGAAAGTTATGCAATCACAATTTGATTATGTACCTCCGGTACATTCTATGATACACAGGTGACAGTATTCTTTTCAAAAGGGTAAACAGAAGGTATTTATCAGTTCAGGAATCACTTTGTCAGTGATTATTCTAAAATGGGTCAAGTATGAAGTGTACATGTGTAAAAGATATGTGGATATTTTGGGGACGTTTTCGTACAATTGCTATCTCCGAAGTGGCCTTTTATTGAAATCAAAATGTGGATTTTTAAAAATATTGCTTTATTCATGATAAAAACTTACACAAGTGCATAGGTCGGCACTCGACAGAAACAAGTAGTGAAAAGGTTCTATTTTATTTAAGTCGGATAAGAAGTAAGATAACGCTTGTAGAGCGACCCCTTCAATGGATTACTGCTTTGACATTCTTTCACGTGAAAAGAAATCTCATTTATCGTTGTTTTTGTTTTTCGAAAGGTCAAATTTCCCTTAAATCTAATTTTATAATAATTTTCAATTTGTTTATACTTTATTTGATTAAAATCATGTGCGGTATAAATTAAATCAATATCACTGTACTTGTTTAACAATTGTGCAATGATTGTTGTTAATTGTGACCTGGTTTTGGTAACAGATGGACATTGACGTCCTAGCTCCCACTGGATATTCCTCAGCACTATACATCCTGACTTATGGATCCTGCTGAGTATCGTCATAGAAGTAGAAGTAGAAGTATACACAGCATTCATGCTTATGTTTACCGTTGCATCCGTGTCTAGACGATGGACTACACGTCAGATACTCCATTTCTTCTTCAAATTTAACCTTTTGGCCCCGTTTACCATATCATGCGTTGATCCATAGCACCATCTTGCTTGGCGTTCCATAATTGAATTATTCAAAGTTTGATTACTGCATTTCTACGTTCTATGGAGGCCCACTTAGATCCACATGAATGTCATGTCTTTGAGTGGTGTTGTTTTCATGGAGCGTTTGGATATCTACACTTTCCTTCTTTCTTAAGAGTCATTTCACGTATAACCTGTGGTCAATTTTCATACTGAATTACAGAAAAAACTGATATACTGATTAGGAAGATAATAATGATCATGATGGTGATGGTGATGATGATGAAAGCAAAGAAGAAGAAGAAGAAGAAGTGTTCTATACTACGCTTCCAACTTCATAACATTATGGACTCGTCCGCTAAGATGTGATTATTTTGTAACGTTTTAAGGAAGATGACTGTTGTCGAATTCTGTTCAGATATTTATTTTGATTCATATATTGGCTCACATTTTTGGAGGACTCATGGCAAGGGCTTTGTCAAGCTCGACTTAACGCCCTGCTACACCCACAGCCGCCATCGCAAGCCCCACCGAACCACGTGGGCTTGTATAGGCGCGACAAGGCATTCAGATAGAAACCCATGGGAGAAGAGATTATTTTCACGTTCAACTGTCAAAAATTCCCGTTTTTCCCTCCAGATATTGTTTTTCTCTGCTCCATTTTTTCTCTTTATTCTGCTATATTTTGCCTCGTGTCATGCCCTGTTCTTCAGTTTGATTTAATCTGACGCGACTGTTCTCTGAGAACGCGATGCTCAAGATTAACGAACACATTGCATCAAAATCATCTATTTTCCTTTCCCTTTTCCTCATGGCTATATAGTACTGTCATATCGTTCCTCATGAACGACTTGGAGATTCATAGTGGGATATCTACCGGAGGAGAATTCGAGGGCGTCATACTTCTTTAAGGCTTTTAAGCTTATCAACACTAGTGTGGCTAAGAGGAATTAGACCACACAGCGAGGCCACTGACAGGTGGCTATCTCATCAACTCAGCTCTCAAATAAGATAAGAAATAGAGGATCGTGGGGGACCGAAAGGCACCGATTGGGCAAGTTTTCTATATAGAGGGAGCAAGTAGCTACAACCTTTATTTCTCCTTGCAATTAACATTAACAACTTCAACAACAACAAAATATTCCTACAAATGACTATCAATGCTTTTACTCTATGTTTAAACTTTTTGTGATCATTTTTTCGAATCATTATGTAAAATATTTGAGATAACTCTTCATAACAACCTCCCATGTTCCTTGATAGCTTTTTTCAATACCTAATGTGTTGATGTCTTTGTTTTTTATCCACTGACTCTCCTTTTCCCGGTCCCCTGCTTCTTTACCCTTTTAGCCCCACTCATCTTAGCATCCTCATCTCAATACCTCATGGATTACACCCTAATTGCGCCTGCTCTCCCAAGCTCCTCTCCTCCTTCTCCATCCGACGACGCCTGCATGAAACCCCCTGTTTGACATTCCCGTATGAATATACCGCAAGCCAATTAATGGGTACTCAGTTATAATTATTCACTTTATTCTGAATCCGCGTCGCCCATTCCCAAACCCTCACTGCCTCTTGCTCCTTCCATACATCTTATATTTCCTCCACTTCTCTTCCGCTTCTTTATTTTGATTCATACTTTGCAATCTCCTAACTTGTACCTACCCTCTCGAAGTTATCCTTATCATTTTGTCACCCCATTTCTTGTGTGCGCGTGTGCGTGTGTGTGTGTGTGTGTTCGTGAGAGTGTGTGTGTGTGTTGATGCGCTGTTGTGTGTTGTGTGTATGTACGATCAGTTTCTTTAATTAGCATCTCATCATCTGTTACCCCCATTTTCCTACGCCCCTTCTTCTTCTTCATTTCGTAATATCATTATTCTCTCCTGGAATCCGTCCCTTGTTCTGTATCACCCTGTCCTACCGTGTTCTACAATCGTCAAGTTCTTTGTTCATGTTCCTATATCTATCTATTCTCCGCTACATCACATCCTTTCGTTCCTTCTTCATTCA